GTATATAAATATTTTAACGCACTAATCGAAAACGCTTTAATCGAATACGCATTAATCGAGGGATCTTGTGTCGACATATTTTTTTTTTCAGGAGAACGCCATGACGCCACTGATGTCGATTTGGTAAGAGGATGTTCCCAGTCCTGTTTAAAAGTAACGTTCACGTGAGTTCTTGTGTTTCAGAACACATTGGAGTGGACTAAGGTACCATTGTCCTGAGTAGGCCATTTTTGTTTTTAATTTTAAATGGCTTGATGTTTTCCTAGTTATTTCGAACTTGAGCGAGCGCTGGCTATTACTGTGTGAAGCAAAGATTGACTTTTAGCGACACATGACCTAATGCAGGTTAACAAGAGTGAAATGGAAAGGCAACAACCTGTCGATGTTAATTTTACTTGCTTGGCGTTGCAGCGTCGGATCGAAATGACACAAGACAGCTACCGGTAATTCGCATTGCAAGCAGCCTTGTTTAGAAGTACCCATAAATTCAAAACACATAAAATCGATTTCGTTTATGCATCTCTCTTAAACCTGTTAAATTCTTCTTCTTCTTCTTCTTCTTCTTCTTCTTCTTCTTCTTCTTCTTCTTTCCTTACTTATTTTCTTTATCTATTACCTCTTTAGGACGCATTTCTTTTACTTCTCTTTTTCTTCTTCTTCTTTGCCTTCTTATTTACCGTCTTCTTCTTCATCTTCTTCGTTTTCTTCTTTCCTTCTTTACTTTTTTCTTTCTTTACCTAAATTGGTAATTTATCGATTACCTTTTTAGGACTTATTTCTTCTTCTTCTTCTTCTTCTTCTTCTTCTTCTTCTTCTTTATCTTCTTCTTCTTTACCTTCTTCTGTGCCTTCTTATTCTTATTTTTCTTTATCTTCTTCTTCTTCTTCTTCTCCTTTCTTTCTTTTTTTATTCCTTTAACTATTTTATTTATCCATTACCTTTTTAGAACGCATTTCTTTTACTTCTCTTCTTTCTTTTTCTTCTTCTTTCTCTTCTTTCTCTTCTTCTTCTTCTTCTTCTTCTTCTTCTTCTTCTTTCCCCATTTCATCCACAAGCTCCTTTATCTATTTCTACTCACTTTTCTTTCTTTTTTTGTCGTCCTCCTTTTAATGACTCCCTGTTCCTTCATTTTCTTCTTCACTGTCTATTCTTGACTTTCCCACATTCTTCTTCTTCTTTTATTTTTCTCCTTATTTTTTTGCCGCTACTGCTTTCTCCTCTACCTTCACGTTTTCATTACCAACGTTACCCATTTTATTCCACTTCCTCTTGTATCCACTTCTTCTTCTTCTTCTTCTTCTTCTTCTTCTTCTTCTTCTTCTTATTTATTTATTTTCTTTCCTACTCTATTTTTCTATATCATCTTTTATATGACACTTTTTAAATCTTTCTTCCGTATTTTCTTTATTTCTTTGTTTTTCTTTTATTCTTTACCCATTTGATTTATCTATTAACTTTTTAGGACTCATTTCTTTTACTTCTCGTCTTCTTTATCTTCTTCTTCACCTTCTTCTATCTTCTTATTCTTCTCCTCCCTTCATTATTTTTTCTTTCTTTACCTTTCCTTATTTATCGATTACCTTTTAGAAAGCATTTCTTTTACTTCTCTTCTTTTTCTTCTTTCTCTTCTTCTTTATTTTCTCCGTCTTCTTCTTCTCTCTTTCTTTATTTTTTCTTTCTTTACCTATTTTATTTATCTGTCACCTTTTCAGAACGCATTTCTTTTACTTCTCTTTTTCTTCATCTTCTTCGTCTTCTTCTTTCGTTCTTTTTTTTTTTTCTTTACCTATCATCTTTTTAGGACTCATTTCTTTTACTTCTCATCTTCTTCTTCTTCTTCTTCTTCTTCTTCTTCTCTTCTTTTTCTTTATTTTTCTTTATTCATTACCTTTTAGGACTCTTTTCTTCTTTTTCTTCTTCTTCTTCTTCTTCTTTTCCTTCTTATTTTTCTTTATCTATTTTCTTTTTAGGACTCATTTCTTCTTTTCTTCTTCTTCTTCTTCTTCTTCTTTATCTTCTTCTTCTTTACCTTCTTCTGTGCCTTCTTATTCTTATTTTTCTTTATATTCTTCTTCTCCTTCTCCTTTCTTTCTTTCTTTTTTTATTTCTTTAACTATTTTATTTATCCATTACCTTTATAGAATGCATTTCTTTTACTTCTCTTCTTCTTTCTTTTTCTTCTTTTTCTTTCTTCTTCTTCTTCTTCTTCTTCTTCTTCTTCTTCTTCTTCTTCTTCTTCTTCTTCTTCTTCTTCTTCTTTCCCCATTTCATCCACAAGCTCCTTTATCTTTTTCTACTCACTTTTCTTTCTTTTTCCTTACCTATTTTCTTTATCTATTATCTCTTTAGGACGCATTTCTTTTACTTCTCTTTTTCTTCTTCTTCTTTACCTTCTTCTTTAACGTCTTCTTCTTCATCTTCTTCGTCTTCTTCTTTCCTTCTTTACTTTTTTCTTTCTTTACCTAAATAGGTAATTTATCGATTACCTTTTTAGGACTCATTTCTTTTACTTTTCTTCTTCTTTATCTTCTTTATTTATTTTTCATTTCTTTGATATTTTATTTTATCTGTTTGCTTTTTAGGGCGCACCATGGAGTAATGGATAACAGCTCAGATTGAGGATTCGGAGAACCGAGTTCGAATCCACTGCATTCACTTGCGTTCTAATACCCTTGCGGAAGGTATGAATCATCTTCTTCTCCCCCAAACAAGCAATGGGTAAATACCTGGACAGACCGAGTTCTATAGTCTTAGATGGAAACTGGAACGATGGCAACCTACTGCTGGGGAAAAAAAAATCAGTCATGTATCGGAAAGTAAAACAGTCTCTTAAACGAGGATCAAAGGCACATAACTGACTGATTACCTTTTTTTTTATTTTTTATTTCTTTTTCTTTAAGAACTTCTTTTCTTCTTCTTTATTTTTTTCTTTTTCTTCTTTATCTTCTTCGTCTTCTTTCTTTCTTTCTTTCTATTTCTTTACCCATTATATTCATCTGTTACCATTTTAAAAACATAGTTCTTTTTCTTTTCTTTTTTATCTTCTTCTTTACTTTCTTCTTTACCATTTTCGTCGTCGTCTTCTTTCTTTTTTATTTCTTTACCTATTTTTTTTTATCTTTTACCTTTTTAGGACACATTTTTTTTACTTTCCTTCTTCTTCACCATCTTCTTCTTCTTCGTCTTCTTCTACTTCTTCTTCTTCATGGTTTCTTATTTCCTCATTTTCTTCTTTACTCCCTTCATCTTGAACCGTTTTCCCTACATTTTCTTCTTCTTAGTTTCATATGCCAATCAGCCGTGTCGACCTCCTTGCCTACCAACCCACAAAATCAGCATTCAAAAACAAACACCTATTATATCTGACTTCGAAACACCAACCCCAAACACGCTCGGCGATAGGCAACATATTCACATACTAAAAGGATCATTTTACTTATTTAGTAAGTAGTATTTGATATCGTCTGGCTCACTGCCACGGTAATTTAACACCTAATGAGGTTTGATTATATTACATGAACAAACTAGCTTAGAGCACAAACGTACTGTTACCAATTCCTTCTAAAATTATTTTTTCGATTTTTGTCAAATCTTCTTAATTCAAATCTAAATCTATTTGTTTTTCTTTTCTTTATTTTCTTTTCTTATTTCCCAGAATCTCCCTCTCACCGTACACATTCTTTTTCTCTCTCTTCGCTTATGCTTTCTTTCTTCTTCTTTCTCTATATTTTCAAACTGCTTTTCGTTTTCTTTTACTTATCGTTCTTATCCTCTCTTCAACGTTTTTGTTTTTTTAATCTTGGCATTTCGCTCCTTCTTTTGCTTCTTTATTCGTTTCATTCCACCCCCCCCTTTTCTTCTTCTATGCTTCTCCTTCCTTGCCTCCTTCTTCTCTTTCTTTTGTCTTTTTTTTATTCTTCTTTATCTTCGTTGTTCATTGCTTTCTTTTATTTCCATTTTTCCTCTCGCTCTTCTCTCCATTAACAACTTCTTCCTCCTCTTC